GATTTAATATTAGAAAGCAACAGAAAAGGGGATTACAGATGAGAGAGTTAGAAGTAGAGAGACGAGGGGGTAAAAAGGGGAGGGAGAAGAAGAGGGGGAAGAAGGCAAGGAAAAGAAGTTGTAAAAGACAGAAACAAGAAATGGAGAAACAGGGAAAAGATATAAGGATTGTAACTATAAGCTTGTTTAGAGATAGTGGGTGAAAATTTAATTGCAAAAGGGATTCTGCAAAGGTACATAAGATAGCATTGTTATATTATAAACAGAAATAATTTTAGAAAATATGATTAAAATAATGGATATTTACTGTAATGTAGTTGAATGTTTGGTAATAAATAAATGAATTAAAACGATTGAGAAAATTAAATGGGAACATTTTTAATTATTAGTAATGATTTATAAAAATATAAGTGAGAAAAATGGAAAAAAAAGAATTAACTATGGAAAGTTTATAACGTGTTCCCAAGGAAGTATGATATTTAATTGAAAAGAAATGTTAAAGATGTTAAGATTTTAATGAATATTAATGATAGAATTGAATTGGAATGGAATGTGTGCTTTATTTACATATATATATAATTTTTTCTTTTTAAGAATATAGTGTGTATTTTAAGAATGTACCAAGCAGAATTCGATTGGAAGTTATGTATTATATTGAATGCTATAATCTTAAAGGTATACATTGAAGCTTAAATAAGAGTTTGAATGGATAAAATTAAAAGATATAAAGGTGTCATACTCCAATTGGTAACTACAGGGAAAAATTTGTTTAATAAGAAAAGATCATATGAAATTGAAACAGGACAGACAAAAGTATAAATATAATGATTTGATTGAGACGAGATAATTAAAATAAAGTTGAGAAAATTAAGAGGGGAAAAACTATGTAGAAAATATAAAACGGTAATAAGATATGGAATAGAATATAAAAATGAGCATGAAATTGAGTTTGGTGTCTGTATGAAGAAGTGATAACCTGGGACCATGCTATTTTCAAAAAAGATGTTTTATTTGTATTTTATTTTTGTGAAAATCCAAATAAAACTTTCAAAAAAAAAGATGATCCACACAGGGGAGAAACCATATAAATGCATAGAGTGTGGAAAGACCTTTGCTCATAGCAGTACACTTACTTCCCAAGAAAGGATCCACACAAGGGAGAAGCTGTATAAATGCTGGGGGGCACATGATCTTTCCTTAAATCTGGATGATTTCCTTGGGATATTTTATGGGGTGAGTGAGACCAGCTAGTGTCTTTAAGTGGTGCAAATGGATCTAAGGATTGTTTCTCCTGGGTGTGCTCTTTCTGGAGAGCTTAAATGACCTCTCTGCTAAAGGGTTTGACTATATGAGCAAGAGATGGCTGCTGAGAGTTACCATTGCATTTGAACTATTTTAATTCCTCAAGGAGCTCTGGCAACATGCCTGACTTGTAACTCTGGCTTGCAGATATTTTTAATCTAATGATTGGTATTTAGGGCAGCTTTTTGCAAGCAAAGAAGCTTTTTATATTTTTGTACAGGTAATCCTTGACTTACAACAGTTCAGTGACCATTCAAAGTTACAATGGCATTGAAAAAAGTGACTTATGACCATTTATCACACTTATGATGGTTGCAGCATCGCCACAGTCATGAGAGGCCAGGTGAGAAGCGCCCCTCGATGTGAGTGATGTTGAGTTGGCCATGCCCAGCCAGTCACACGACCACCAAGTGATGCCCATGCAGTCACGTGACCACCAAGCCACACCTAGCCAGTCATATGACCACCAAGCCATGCCCAGCCAAGCCATGCCCAGCCAATCACATAACCACCAAGCCACGCCCACATAACTGGTAAGAAATTTGAACCCACCCGTGTTCAGCCCAGAGCCAGGAGGGTCCTCGGCAGTTTCCCCTTTGACGTACAGTCCCAGACCTTCTCCCCCCCAATACATGAACGGCTGGGTGGATGGAATGCTTTGGTTGGTGAAGGGCCGAAGGGGAAAGGGATACTCAAAGGCTGGAAGGGATCTTAGAGATCTTCTAGTCCAACCCCAAGTGAGCAAGGGAGATCCCCAGGGCAGGAGTGGGACCGGTCGGTCTTGCCCTCCAGGAAGGGTCGAAAGTGGGGTTTCTCCCCACCCAGAGCCCAGCCAAGACCCCCGATCCCCCCTTCTCTTCCGGCCCAAGCCCAGAAATTAGGGAGGTCCCCCGTCTGAGCAGCGGCTCTTCCTTGGTCCCCCTCCCCAATTCTCAGCCGAAGGACAAAGGACCCTCCCCGCAGTTTCCCCTCTGGAAATCTTGAAGGCGTTTTTGTCCACAACTCCCTCCAACTTTTGTATGTGTGTCATAGAAAACTTCTTTTGAAGGGAAATTTCGTTTCCAAATAAAGGCAGCTTTTCCCACCTTTCCAAATCTCTGCTTTGATTTGAAATAAACCTTTAAACTCAATAAATCTGACAAACATTTTAGGTTATGAGCGAACCGGATTCTCCATTCCTGCCTTTGCTGTTTGCCAGGGAACTTAACGCTTTGAGTGTGAGAATTGTGGGAGGAAGATTTTATTCACGGGGAGAGAAATCAGCCCTGGGACTCCGTCCTAAGAATCTACCCTCTGAGATGAACTTCTTTCTTCTGGAGGGGAAATATTTTGCCCAAAGGAGAAGAAAAAATCCATTTCCTCAGATATTTATAAGAGGATCTGAGCGGATTTTCTTCCTTGTAAAAGATTTCAGTATTATTTAAGAAGGATGGATGGATGGATGGAGAGTATATTAAACCAAAGAATAAATTTATAATTTTAAATAATTATGGAATTTTAATAGAAATTCTGGGGACTTCAGTAATCCCATATCCCCCACTAAAGGATTACAGCCTTTTAACCATTACAGTCTGGAAATCTCCCCCCCCCCCCCCCAAAAAAAAACAACTATCCCAAAAAGCAGAGATTCTGTTTCTTGTGCTCATCTTTCACTACATCCATAGAAAACATTTATTCTAGTCTTCTGGAAAGATTTGAGTTCCAGTGAGTTAAGCAAAGGCGGGTTAAACAGATCCTGAATTCCGGATTCTTTTTGAAAAGTTTTGGGGGTCCAGAGTTGGCCTGGATCCTTTCCAGGAATGGGGGCTGGAGGGCTCAAATTCCCCCCTGGCCCAGCACCAGCCCCAGCGGGCCCGGGCCCCCCCCCCCCCCCCCGCCCCACAGCTGAAGGAGGCAGCAGAGTCCTCATCTGCCCCAGTTGTGTATCTGGACACAGTCAGGCCCAGATTCAGGCAGCCTCTGTGAGGCATCCATTGCTTACCTGACCAGGCAGAACCTCTGCTTCCCCCCTCCCCAAATATTGTGATTTTCTCTGTTCTCTCTGCCACACACACACACACACACAGTTTCTTTCTCCAACCCCCATCAGCTGCAGAGCTGCTTCAGTTCCGCTTCCCCAGCCCCAGTCTGAAGCGTTGGGCTCCTCCGAAGCGGAACTGAGGAACTGGCCAGCCGGGATCCAGCAGGCAACAAGCCTGGATTCTTCACCAGGGTAGCTCAGGGACTGTCCTCCTCTGCCCCGTGGCTGAGTCTCCAGGTGGGGCAGCCACAAGGTCCTCTGGCCCACTGGAAGTGGATGAAGGGGTTCTTCCTGACTCCCAACGAGACCCTGAAGAGCCCAGGAAACAAACTGATGGAGGGTTGAACAAATGTCACTCAAAGGACCCAAATTCTCCCCCTTCAGAACCGGTTTTTCATAGTAGTGTGTTAAAGCCATTTGTAACTTCCTCATTGAGGCCAGAAGAACATGAAGCTCCGAAGCCTTTTCTCATTGCGGGGCATTAACATTATGAGGTTAAAAAAATCTTGGGACTCTTAGGATTTTCAGAGGGAAGTTACAATATCTAATTTATTGGAAAGGCTATCCTATTTCACAAGCAACTTGGGTAAATAGCTGGAAAGTATAGACTGGTGGAAAAATTCCATGAAAAATATCCACAGAAGCCCAAAGTGGATCCTGCGGGAGGCAGAAGTTAAATTGCTGTATTGTATTATTGTGTTTAACCTAATTCTTGTGTATTCTATGTCATTACAGGGGTTTCTTTTCAAATGGGGGGGCAGCCTGTCAAGGCCAAAATTGACATATGCATAGACATTTACTTAGCCCTATCATATATTCCTTTTTCTTTCTTTCTTTCTCTTTGGTGGTTACGGGGTGGAGGGTTTTGGGATTGCCACATTCCTAAGGTGGGAGGAGCGGAGATAGTGAAGACTGTTTAGGCTAAGTGATTTCCCTTCCCATGGGAAAAGAAACTGACCCTGCTGAGGCCTTGAGGTGGAGATTGATGAAACCAGGCAATGTTGATTTACTTCTATTGGGGAATGTGACTTTTGGGGGTTGTTCCTAATTTCCAATATTATGTGGTGTAATTCCGGGTTGTGTCAGATCCAGAATTACAACGGACTTTGCCAATTTGATGCTTTCCTAAAAAAAAGAAATTGTTTGGAAGACGGACGTTGCTCTTTTCTTTTTAAATGGATTTCATCACTTGGAAACCTGACAGGATTATACTAGCTATTTTGACTGCTGCTGCACACATGACTCATGTTTAACTCATCATCCATTCGGACTCCCAAGGTCCCTCTCACAGTTACTGTTTTTGAGCCAGATTTCCTGTAATCTGTTTTTCCTGCCCAGATGTAAAATCTTATTTTTCTCCACATTAAGTTTCATTTTGTTGGACTCAACCTTGTCTTATTTGCATCAGAAAGGCAGAATATAAATACACATAGAAATCTAGAGACATGGTGAGTGACTTGTTACAGAGGATGACTGTCCACAGCCAGGAGTTTGATCCTGACCGGCTCATGGTTGATTCATCCTTTCATCCTTCTGAGGTCACTAAAATGAGGACCCAGATTGCTGGGGACAATATGCTGACTTTGTAGACTGCTCAGAGAATGTGGTAAAGCATTGTGAAGTGGTATATAACTCTAGGTGGAATTGCTGTTGCTATATAGTTTCTTCCAAGCATGGATCCTTTTATGAGAAGATGACCATTCTCAGCAAAACTCTTTTCACACTCTATGCATTTATATGGCTTCTTCAGTGTGGATCATCTTATGGGAAATAAGACTACATTTTTGAGCAAAGGTCTTTCCACACTCCATGCATTTATATAGTTTCTCTCCTGAATGGTGCTTTTTGTGGTTTCTCAGGCCACGGCAACCAGTAAACGTCTTTCCGCACTCCATGCATTTATATGGTTTCTCTCCTGTGTGGAGCATTATGTGTCTTCGAAGGTCACTGCTCCAAGAAAAGGTCTTTCCACACTCCATGCATTTATATGGCTTCTCCCCCGTGTGGATCCTTTTGTGTATTCTTAGGACACTGTTATTAGCAAAGGTCTTTCCACACTCCATGCATTTATATGTTTTCTCTCCTGAGTGGATCTTTTTGTGGCTTTTAAGTCCACTGCGATCAGTAAACGTCTTTTCACACTCCATGCATTTAAATGGCTTCTCCCCCGTGTGGATCCTTTTGTGTGTTGTTAGGACACTGTTATTAGCAAAGGTCTTTCCACACTCCATGCATTTATACGGCTTCTCCCCCGTGTGGATCCTTTTGTGTATTCTTAGGACATTATTATTAGCAAAGGTCTTTCCACACTCCATGCATTTATATGGTTTCTCCCCCGTGTGGATTCTTTTGTGAGAAATAAGATGATCTCTTCGAGTAAAGGTCTTCCCACACTCCAT